CCCCCCCCCCCCCCCCCCCCCCCCGCATTTGAAAAGTTGATCCTTGGCTGGACAGTTCCAGAGAGAGACACCGGCCCCCAGGTAGCAAGGCCCCGCTGCAATATACTTGATAGACGTTCCCAACCGGGCAGGAACGTGCGTTAAGCAGTGGCCGCGGGCAGCACCCTCTCGCTTGAGCTTCCAAATTTTCCTTGTAGTTGAGCTGTTTTCCACACACACTCTCGAGACCTGCCCGCTTGCTCTGGGCTATTACACCAAACAAAGCCCCTCTCTCCCCCCAGCAGTAGTAATAATAAAAGCCATTTTAGGTTTTTTTTAAACTTTATTTCCACTCACAAAGTGACTCATCTCAGCTTAGGCCAAGTCTTGTCCTTTCTATCCCTCGAAGGTGCCTTTTCTCTGGCTGGTTGACTTTCCGCAAGACCATGTCCTATTAACCAATTTTTAAAAAATCCCCCCGGAAAAGAAAGCACTTAAACTGTGTCTCCTAGCTCTTCTCCTCCATGCTCAAATGGCTTCGAAAAAACAGCCGCGTTTCAGTTAATTTCCTAGTAGTTGGTGGCATTTTGAGGGCCAGGAATTTCTTTCCCGGGATAAAGTTTGTGATAGTGTACCTACCAGGGGGCAGTAGGAGCCCTCTGAGAGCAGCTAATTTTCAGCCGTGTACTTTCTGTTTAAGCCTTATTTTGTTCGTGCCTAATATGTGGATTCCAAAGTTGATTTCTTATCTCTTTTTCACGTAACAAAAGAAAACCTACCAGCATAAAAATTTAGTAACAGCCACGACACACACACAAAATCAAAGCATGCTTTTCCCCATTTACCAGATTTCGAGTCATTCCAAGTAGGTGTGCTATTTTCCATAGCAGCGGGAAGGAGTAACTCGGAGGTATGTTAAAAAAATGCCAAGAAGTTTTTAGTTAAATCTATCCCTGGGAATCTTTTGGTGCTAAGCATGTAACATTTTAGGATTAAATACTTGTATTTCCCTAACGATCAGATTTCATCCTTATGTCCCTTTGGAAACAGATGCAGCGTTTTCACCTCTGCCTTGTATTTGACCATTTTCAAGCAGAAAGGAGACTCCAGCAGTTCCTTGTAGATTTTACAGCTCTACATCTAGTATTTAGATCTGTGGACACAGACTTTTTATAGAGAATAAGAACTTTCCCGGAAGTCGTTTTTCTCAGTTTCTTTCCATGTTCAATAGCACCCGGATCGTTTCTAAAAGCAACCGGTGTGTTCTCCTCTAAGCTTGTCTGAGATGCTTGCTGTAAAAGCGAATCTAATCACTAGTTTGTTCAGACCTGGGTGATTTTTTATCAGGTCGCCTTTTGCACACAAGGGCTTTTTACCCAGTCCGGATGATTTGTCCCTCAGGTGATGTAAATCAGCCAGGGGAATTAGAGCTTCAAAACCAAACCAAACCAACCACGATGTAACTTTAAACGAAGTTGTCCCTTTAGCTGGATCCTGGCTTTGGAACAACAAATTACTCCATGGCCAGAGTCCTTCCAGCGATTGTTCGTGGGACACCCCGTAGTTCTTTCAGCAGAGTTGGTTCGCTTGGCTTTCTTGCTGTGTGTGTGTGTGGTGTGTGTGTGTGTGTGTGTGTGCGCGCGTACGAGGGGGAAACGGGGGGGACTGAGGGGTTTCTGCCCAACTAAGGTCAACGAGAGTTTTGCATTGATTTCATATGCAGAAGCATGGGGGGGTATGTTTATAAGATAGTCACCCCATTGCCCCAGGTGCTGATACTCTCCTAACCCTGCCAGCCAAAATACTCTCCCGTCCCTACTTCGGTTATGGTGTGAAGCCACCCTCACTTGTTGTCCTCATGAAGGGACCGAGTCAGCATCTTGCAGGATTGGGCCCTACCGTGTCCTTGCGTACAGGGGAGGGACCAAGCCAGATCCCAGCGTCCCACGAAGAAGCCGGTCCTATTCCTAGCCTTTGCGCAGGGCACACGTCCTTCAGTGGGGAGTTGTGATCAAGGATAAACCCCGCGGGCCAAGACCAGCTTGGATCAGGAAAGTGGCTGGACTGTAGATTTCACTGGGCTCCTCCGGGCCCAGTTTGGCTGGGAGTTTATTTTGGCTCTGAGGATTGTGGGCGGACACTGGATCAATGCATTGTAATGACAACATGGCTGGGAACTGCCCGTGTGCAGGGTTGGGGTGTTAGAACTGCGTCTGTCTGGTATAGTGAGCCCTGACAACTTTCCAGGACTTCTAATTCCTAGGAACGGCCATACTGGGGCCATCTAGCCCAGCATCCTCTCTTCCCAGGGTGGCCAAGGCCAGGTGCTCCAAAGGGAGTGAACAGAAAGGGGCAATTTGTGGAGGGATCCCACCCCCTATAGTCCAGATTCTGTCCATCAGCCGTTTAGGGACACCCAGACCACCTCGAGTAATCGCCCCTGGAGGATCCATCCTCCCTGGATTGATTTTTTTAGCCCAGTTATGCGTTTGGCCTCATCCCATCCCATGGAGAAGAGCAGGACAGGTTGGCCATGTGTTTGCAACGACAGGTTCAAAACCAGCAGCCCTCTTTGCGGTGGGTTTGTGTTCCAACTCTGCTAACCCAAGCAACAACCCGCTGCAGGACTCGCACGCAGTCAGTTTAGCAGCCCCCAAAACAACAAGGCACAGAAGAGACCGGTTAAGATCTCAGTGTCGTGACCTGCCACGTTTTGCCCAACTGTATGGACATTCCCTTGGGCACCCCTTCCCTCTTAGCATCGGGTCGCCAAGCCTCCTTGGTGCTTTGTTTTTCGTCAGCTGTTCCCTGGTGGGGACTGGCTCGGGAGAATTTGAAAAGCCCTGAGCAGGGCGGGCGGAGGGAGAAATGATTTAGACCGGTTAAGATCTCAGTGTCGTGACCTGCCACGTTTTGCCCAACTGTATGGACATTCCCTTGGGCACCCCTTCCCTCTTAGCATCGGGTCGCCAAGCCTCCTTGGTGCTTTGTTTTTCGTCAGCTGTTCCCTGGTGGGGACTGGCTCGGGAGAATTTGAAAAGCCCTGAGCAGGGCGGGCGGAGGGAGAAATGATTTGGCCTTCGGCAGAACCGGCCGCTGGGGCGGAGATCCGCAGCTGTGCAGCCGCGTTAACACCCGCGGCGCATCCTGCAAAGGGCGAAGTGTTTGAACGTGCTTGCGCGTTCCGGTACGCTACGGACTCCGAGGCAAAGGTTACAATGCTGCAGGGCTGGGAGGGGTGTGTGTGTTCCCAACAGGGGACCACTAAAATGAACAGGCTGGGGGTGCCCAAAGCTACTCCCCTGTACACATCCGATCGCTTTCCCGGGGGTGCCTCGCTATGGATTGAGGGGGCTACCTAGAGGCACCCGGCTCTGAACCGTGTGGCTAGGACACTTGTAACAACTGTGCAGGGAATTTCCCGGGGGCGACACGCGGCTCGGCTCCCTTTTACAACCCAGAACGAGAGCTCCAGACAGCCACTTCCCCAAGCTACTTCCATCTGCCCAGTCTCTGCTCCTTGCTCGTGACCACGGACGCTTTTACTCTCTCCCCAGTATGTCTCTCTCTCCCACGACAGTCTCCAACCTGTGCTGCTGCTGCTCCCTTTCTCCCGGCTTTAGGAAGAGTAGACCCAGGAGTCTCCCAAGAGCCCGGGTGAAGGCACGTTTAGAGATTCCCGTGCGCAGCCGGCAAAAAGACAGCTTCCCGCGGAGGTCTCGCTCCGATCAGCCCTGGAGCGCGGTCATCTCGCAGTCATTTAGAGCGCGTCTCAGGTTACAGGACCCTCCCGAGCAGCCCACGTAATGAGTTTCAGGAA